TCCCTGAGCTGCTTTTAAATCAGAGATTCCTGACCCTTGATAGACCCCACGTGTGATGCAGCCACAAGGGCCAGGTGCGAGAGTGAGCTTGTGTCTGGGGGGGTGGGGTGCACGGGCCTCAGAGTTTGAGGAGGATGACAGGCCCCTGGATAACACCCCCACCTTCAGTCGGCCGGAGCACTTTTAGGGAAACACTGGCATCTGGACCCCGAGGTGCAGAAGGGGAAGGAGGCACTGTGAGTGGGGGAGGGAGAGTGGGAGACTTCTTCAGGTGCAGGGCCCTGTCCCACAGCCAGGGGTCTGACTCCCACAGATGTGCAGAGCTCCCACAGATGTGCAGAGCTGTTCGTGCCCTCCTGCCCCAGTGCTCTCCTGCCCCAGTGTGCACCTGCCCCAGTGCCCTCCTGCCCCAGTGTGCACCTGCTCCAGTGCCCTCCTGCCCCAGTGCCCTCCTGCCCCAGTGTGCACCTGCCCCAGTGCCCTCCTGCCCCAGTGCCCTCCTGCCCCAGTGCCCTCCTGCCCCAGTGCCCTCCTGCCCCAGTGTGCACCTGCCCCAGTGCCCTCCTGCCCCAGTGTGCACCTGCCCCAGTGCCCTCCTGCCCCAGTGTGCACCTGCCCCAGTGCCCTCCTGCCCCAGTGCCCTCCTGCCCCAGTACCCTCCTGCCCCAGTGCCCTCCTGGCCCAGTGTGCACCTGCCCCAGTGCCCTCCTGCCCAAGTGCCCTCCTGCCCCAGTGCCCTCCTGCCCCAGTGCCCTCCTGCCCCAGTGCCCTCCTGGCCCAGTGCCCTTCTGCCCCAGTGTGCATGCAGGAGGCGGCCAATCGATGTTCTCTTTTATTGATGTTTCTATCTCTCTCTCCCTCTCCCTTCCTCTCTCTCTAAAATCAATACAGGACAAAAACCAAACATTTTTTTTTAAGTGTTCAGGGAGAGTAGAGGGCTCGGCACGAGGAGCTGAGGAGTGTGCCTGGCCCGGCATGTGCTCTCTTGTCAGAATGTTACTGACCTCACGCATGGCGCTCAGGGGGCCAACTGCAGATGCCACCCTGGCCTCCGTGCCCCTCCCCCGAGCCTGGCTCTGGAACCTCCTACCTCTTCTCTTCTCTGGGTCAACGGTAGCATCAGGGATAAGTAAAGTCCAAACCTAAGACCATACAGAAACTTAAAGACGTTTCCACTCTTCGTTGACCATGGACCCTGGCCAGGATCAGCAAAGCTTATTACCAGGCAAGCAGTTGATACATCGAATTAATTACTCTATTGTTTTTTGATGATTAAAGTTAATACAGTGTTAACCAAAGGAATTTCAGTTGGGGAGCAGAGGAAAGTTAAAGCTGATAAAATGTCTTTTGCTGAAGGAACACCCTAAATGAATAATCCCTTTCTTTTTCTCTGTATTCCACAGGAAAACAATGTGTGTCTACCGAGTAGTGCAGGGGGTGGTGGAGGCTCGGGAGGAGCACACGGTTTGACCTCGGGGCTCTTCCCTGGGAGGGGAAGACGTACAGCGAACCGGCGCGGCAGTCTGCACTGAGCACGCCGAGGGCCACGCCCTGCGTTTAGCACGTCGTGCTGTCAATGTCCCAGAACACGTTCTGCCGCCTTTTCATGGATGAAGAGGGACCGATGATTAGAGCGATTGGTCAACCAAGCGAGCCACGACCCACAATCCAGTGTGTGCAATCCAAGGCTCACTCGTGTTTCAGAACAAATTCAGTAGTTCTTCCCACTAGACCGATGTTTCTTAACACACTTTCATTATGACATCTGCCACTTGGACGTTCTCAGCACCGACAGAGTGAACTCGTGTGGTTCATGTTAGGGGCACCCGACCTCTGATCGAGAAGCCACACATCGAGGAGGTCGTGAGACTTGTAACAGAGACAGCAGCTGCCCAGAGGCAGCAAGGCCAGGATTTCTGCTCTCTTCCCCGAACCAACGCACCGAATTCCCCTGGGGTTTCCTTCCGTGAAATTAGTGGTTTGTTAAATCAGCAAAAATGTTAGATAACATTAGAAAGGCGATCTCATTGGTGAAATTAAAGATATTAAGGATATGTAGTCTGGCAAAACATCTGGAAGAGACCCCCCCAGCCTGTGTAAGATGGTGTCAGACCCCAGTGAAGCCTGTGACTGGAGCCTTGGAGAAGGTTCTAGGACCTGGATCACTTAGTTATTCTGTGCTGGACGCTAGCTTAGGAGGCTTCCGGTGGCCCTACTCCGCGTGTAGCTGAATCCTGCTTCTAGAGTCGTGCTACAGCTGCCCAAGGACAGCATTTTATTCACAGCAGAGCAAGTCAGAGAGCTGGGCCATCACAGAGTGTGCAGAAACACTTGTATCAACAGCGTTGCACCAACTTGCTACAATGACTCATCTAATGAATACCTACATGTGCCCCAGACCTTGGCCCTGGCTCTGTCCTGCCTGCCCGGTGGCAAAGCTCTCAAATGGCAGCTGTTTCTCAGATGGCTCACTTTTCAGCAGTCGTTGTCTTCCAGAAAGACTCTAAAACAATGTGCAAATCGGCTGCGCTGGATCTGTAATTCCGGTCCTTGGACCATCTGTGTCTGGGCGGCTGGAAGTTCGGAATTCTTCCGCGGGTCAGCAGCCTGTGTTTTAATGTTCTGGGGGTGGGGCCTGAGGCCTGAGTGGTAACAGCTGCCCTGGGCAGTTTCATACACTCTGAGAGCCCCGCGAAGGAAGATGTCACCAGGCAAACACCAAGGCCATTGGCTGACAGCTTTTCTCAATGGTAGATCGGCAACCCAAGAGGAGGGAAATATGCTCTAGACCGCTGGGTCTGAAAACCAGAATCTGCAAAGTAAACCGCAATCTATAAAACCTCATCGCCTACCAACTCCCTGTCATAAATTTGCGGTCATCACTATTTGCTTCCACATCTCGATGGAAATAGATCAAAACGGGCCTTAGACATTCAGTAAGCTCATCCATGGCCACGGAATATCCCACTGTCATCGGGATGGGTAGGGATTGTCAACAGCTCTCTAACGGACTCCTGTGATCCGTTTTCTGTGACAACAGTAACAACGGTTGGCCGAAAGCCCGTCATATTAAATATGTCTTTGGAGGAAAACCAGTTGGGCTATTGGGCTGCTTTTTTTCTCACATCAATACGACATCTTGTCTGACTTCCATCCACTCATCAAATATTTATTAAGAGCCTTTTAAACGTCGGTCATTTTTGCTTCCAATGAAAGCTGTGAAGGATTGCAGAAGCAGAGGTCTGAGTCAGGACTCCTGCCTCCCAGGGGCCGCTCATCACAGCATGACGCACAGGGAGAAGCGCCCGGGACAGGACTCAGAGGTCCTGAGTGCAGGTACTAGCTACAAACTCAGCGGCAAGTCTGTAAAACTCCTGTGCTTCTCCTTCTCTTAGACAATAAGGAATAAACGCTCTTGTATCGCCAATTTTTCAGCACTGACTAATTCATTCATAAGTATTTATTCGTCCTCTACTATAATCCAGGAATGTTTCTAGGACCTTGGGGGATACAGTAGGAGACAAGACATACGGGGGGGGGGGGGGCAAAAGCAGATTTATAGTTGTAATACAAATTAATAATGCAATAATGAATCAATAATAATACAAGAATAAACTCTGTTTCACGGACTCATACCTATAACCCTTCTTTTGCCAACCCCTGTAGGAGATGACTGCTCTCAAGGCTTATTCTAATTATTAGGGAAAAAAATTATAAATATAATGATATATAAACTTATTTTATATAAGCAGCTACATATATATGTGAATATTAACAGCTATATTTTACTAGGCAAATATATGTGCTCATTTATTTTTAAAGTTTAAACCAAAGTCTTAAGAATACAGTGTATTTATTTAGATTTCATATTGCATTATTTAAGATGAGAAAGGCAATAAATTAATAAAAGATATATAGATCTAAATAGTAAACCTAGCACTTTAATAAAAGATGTCTCCATATTTCTTAAATGATAAAAAATCATTTTCAGCCAGAATGCATTCTTCAATATAGAAAACATGCTAGGTTCATGCTACGACACTCTTCTACATATAGTAAAATTTATCATTAAGAGACCCTTCCTTTTTATTCATCTTTTCATTACTTAAGAACCAGGATATATGTAGGCAGTCTCCAGGATGGCCCCAATAACCCATCTCCTCGGTAATCCCTCCCTTGAAGTGTGAGCTGGATTCAGTGACTCACTTCTAACACATTGTAGATAACCGGACTGCTGGGATATCATTTACAAGACTGAATTGCAAGAAAACTTGGGCTTATGTCTTGGAAACTTTCTCTTGCTTATGGCTTTCTCCTCCCCTCCCTTCCCCTTCTCTTTCTCCTCCCTCCCAGACCCTCCCTCTCTCTCAGTCCAATCATCTATCTACAGGAGAGGCCACCTGGAGAAGAGGCGTCCTGTAGGGTCAGAACCACAGGAAGGAGAACTGAAGCCCCCCAGCCAACAGCCAGAACAAACCATCAACCAAGTGAGTGCTTCTTGGAAGGGGACCCTCCAGCCCAGTCCAGGCTTCAAGCAGGTGGGTGTGACTTCATGAAAGATGTTCCTGAGTCAGGAAAACCCAGCCAAACCATGCCCGAGTTCCTCATCTAGAGTAACTGTGCAATAATGCTTGCTGTTTGAACCCTCTAAGTTTCAGGGTAATTACTTACACAGGAATGAGTGATTAATATATAATCCAAGGAATCTTGAGGATACTATTGTGAAAGTGAATGGATTCAGAATCTCATGCATTATACCTCGATGATTCGAACTGGGCTTGAAGAACGTGGTGATGTCATTGTAATGCCTTTATCACGAAGAAACACATTTCCACTCTTTTTAACTCAATACGATTATGACTGTACTTTTTTCCCTGAGATCTCCTGCATCCATTGAACCACATATAAATACTTCATGATCAGACTTCATTGAAACACTCTTTTGAGCAATGTATTAGTTCGCCAATGGAAAAAAAAAAAAAAAAAAATGGCACCCTTACCTCCAAAGAAGTACTTCTCGCCAGTTTTAACTTGAAGAGGACTGTTAGTTCGAACGGCTGACGCCTCGTCTCCATCGATGGTGAGAATAGCAAAGTTCTCCTTAGCCAGGAACCGAACCTCATGCCACTGTCCATCATTCAGCCCGGAACCTGTTGAGTACAAGGTGAAATAAATTTATTTCCTGAAGGTGGTTTCCTATAAAACCGTTTTCAATATCAATGAAGTCGGAATTTTATAAGTCGAAGCGAATCCTCTTTCATCTAGGAGAACGCAGTGCTACTTGTAATTAATATCTCATGCTCCTTTAATATCATCAGTGGTTTTATTCTCCGTTGAACCACACAAGGAATAATATATCCTGATCGAAGGGGATCACAATAATGTGCCATTGGGCTACTCGGGAAAATGAATGAAGTCCATAACGTTGTTTGGAAGGTGATGGTGCACTATTTTAACTTAATACCCATTTTCTGGTCAGCTTTACTAGACTCTGCTCTCATATAAGAAAATTGATTTATGACTCATCTCATCTCTCTCTCCTTTTTATAAACTTTCTTTGCATTGTTATTTTTTTTTTTCTAAACAAGCACAGGTGGTTAAATATGGTTGATAGAAATGAACGATTAAAAATAAATGTGTAGGTATGTATCGTTATTTGTGCTAACTGACCACTGATGAGCGTGGGAAACAACATCAGGGTTATCTGATCATTTACCAATAAGGTACCTTTAGAATGAAGTAGGTTATATTCAAACAAATAAAAAATGACGAAATTAATCAACTCCCACCCCTAATGACCACATTTCACTGCTGTCTGGGACGAAGATCATGCGAAACAAAACTTCTATCCAGCTCTCCATGACAGAGACAATAATGTAAAGTTTCTGTTTAACCTGAGTTCATTTTATGAAGAATAATTAGAAAACTAAGGAGCATAGAGAGAATAGCCATTGAACATAAATATCTGGAAAGAGTTTAAGAAACACTAAGAGACAGAGAAGTATGTGGGGGTCAGAGTGGCAATTGTTTGACCTTCTGAAGTTCTATGCTGTGTCAAGGGAAGAGATTTAACTTATTAGCTCCAGACAGAATAATCTAGAATCCAGAGGTAGAAGTTACTTGAAGATACACTTCAGCTTCACAAAAGAAAGACAAGCTGCCCAGCCAGTGTGGCTCAGTGGTTGAGTATCAACCCGTGCTCCAAGAGGTCGCCATTCGATTCCTGGTCAGGGATCATGCCCAGGTTGTGGACCCAATTCCCAGTGGGGGGCATGCAGGAAGTGACCAATCGATGTTCTCTCTCATCGATGTTTCTATCTCTCTCTCCCTCTCCCTTCCTCTCTTTCTAAAAATCAATAAAGAAAAAAACAAACAAGCAAATAAAGGTATAAAAAAATAAAACAAGAGTAAATCAGTGAAATGCTGATGTCGGCTCCCAGCCTCTGATCAGAGGTCTGCAAACCAAGGCTCAGAGGTCAATGCAGGCTGCTGCTGTCTGTTTTTCTACAGCCTGGGAACTAAACATAGTCTCATATTTTTAAATAGTTAGAAATAAAGAAAAACAAGAACGTTGAATTTCATGCAAAAATCATATAAAACTCAGATTTTAGTGCCCACATACAGGAATGCAGGCAAACTCATTTACTTACACATTGTCAGAGACAGAGTGAAATAAATAGTGGACAAAGAGACTGTTTCCCTGGAAACGCCTGAACTGTTTACTGTGTGGTCATTTACAGAAAAAGCATAAACTAGTGGCCGTTTTATACTATCAAATGGAAATACCACTTTAAAGAAAACATTAAGGCCTGTAGGAATTCAGAAGATAGTCACCTATAGGTAGCGTTACTGATGATATTCTGGTAAATATCATTACAAATAATTACCTCGAAGGTATTCATGTTTGGATGTTCACATTTTAACTTAGTATTACATATTTCAGTACATTTTATTTCAATGGAGAAACATAGAAAATCCCTGATCTAAAGTAACAAATAGTAAATGATTTCCAAACTATAAAATATATCATACATATGAATACATAGATAATTATACATTTTTTATACTGAAATTATTATGCAAATGTAAAACCTTATTTTAAAATTAAAACCAGGCCCTGACTGGATACTTCAGTTGGTTAGAGCATCATCCTGATACACCAAGTTTGCGGTTTCAATTCCTGGTGAGGGCACATAAAAGAATCAACCAATGAATATATAAATAAGTGGAACAATAAATCTATCTCTTTCTCTCTTCCTCCCTCTAAATATCAATTAAAAAAACCTAAAAATAAAATACAATTAAAATCAGTTAGCTTCCTGCCCTGGCCGGTTTGGCTCAGCGGTTAGAGTATTGGTCTGTGGTCCAGAGAGACCCGGGTTCGATTCCTGCTAAGGGCACATACCTCGGTTGCAGTTTGTCCCCGGCCCTGGTTGGGTTGTGTGGGTGGAAGCCACTTGATGTGTCCCTTTCACGTTAATGTTTCTCTCTCTCTCTCTCTCTCTCTCTCTCTCTCTCTCCCCCTCCCACTCTATCTGAACAAAATATCGAAAAATGTCTTCAGGTGAGGATTAAAAAAAAAAATCAGTTAGCTTCCTGACAAGTGTTTACTGAAATCCTTCCTTCTCAAGTAGGTGACTTTCGGGTTCTCCCATAGAACTGACGTTATAAGACTGTCTTTACCGTAACACTTTTCTTTAAAGTACCAAACTGGGTTTAGTGTGGGTTAACCATAAAAGTGCCTGGTTCTGATTCTGGCTTTTGCTTTTGCCTGTACAGTGTGATGAACCCTGTTTTGAAACACAAGTTGGGGCCAGGATCCCAAGGACATTAATCTCACAAACGTTCATTTCCCAAATGTAATCCTAAATAATCACGCACCCAGAGGACGTCACTTATAAGATATCTGTAGCTGACAGGTGTCCTGTTCTAAATGGTAGACCAGAAAGCCTTTCTAAAAAAAAAAAAACTCCTGTCAGAGACAGTACAAAACTTGTCTTCCCCAAGGTAATGTAGGAATAAAGATCATCAGCCTTAATTGTTCATGGCAAAGTGTCGATTATTCCAATCAGATTACAATAAAAAGGTTACTTTATTTTCTTCCAGAAACTTAATTACTAGAGACGGAGGACCACCGATCAAAGCGGCCTTGTTGATAGCAGCCCCGACTACATCCGAGCTCGAACTGTGATTTTATTCATTGCAGGTCCGACCATGATTTTGAACTTTGCATGCTAACAGTCATGCAGAGGTAAGCCTTAGCACCTGGGATAGCAGCGAGCCCCCAAATATAACGAGGCCCCTTCTCTGTGCGGATGATCTAACTGCTCCAGAGCAAGCAGGCGGGTTCCCGGGGGTTCTCTCCCCTGCACGTTATAGAAGAACTACCGCCGGGAGGCTCTCTCGCAAGAAGAATCTAATTTCATGGTCTCTGTACATGGGGCTATTTATAGACATACTGTCCTAAGTGCTCCATGGCAGTCACTCTGCTGAGCACTTTACTTGCATTCAACTCACTTCGAATGCACAGAAAAGAAAAATATACGTATTTCCCAAGTAAGTAGGTGAGGGCACTGAATGGGATAAAATGGAAGCATCTGTGGGCAGTCAATAGCAGGACTTAGCAATGGAATTCAAGATACATCTGGGTCCAGAGGCTGAATTCATACAACAAACAAGGAGAAACAAAACAGTTTTATATGACCTCTGCGCACCCGCGATCAGAGTTCTCTTACGCTGTGCCCGCGTGCACAGACGCACACGCACACACGCACCCCCATTGGCCACCACCTCTGCACAGGAGCGCGGTTCCCGGGGACACCCTGTCTCATGCAGCAGGAGGGCTGCATGAAACGGAGACAGCGTCGTGTTTCGGCATTTGGCCGGTGGGCGTGTCTGCTGTGCTGGAGCACCCCCTTGCCACCTGTCTTCTAGTATTTTCTTACGGGTGTTTTCCTCTTAAAATTGTAATTAGAATAGAAAGTGTCTACTACAGGTTTGAGGAGCAAATGCTGGGCACAGGAGAATACCCCTGAGTGTGTGTGAAAGGCACCTCTGTACTGTGGACTCCGAGCGAGGGAGCCTTGTACCCACTCTTTCCACTTCACGACGAGTGGCCAGTGCTCCTAAACACCCCACCGTGTCGTCGGTGTGGAATCGAACCCGCGGCTCTGTGGTCCACAGGTGGACGCTCTAACCGCTGAGCCAAACCCGCCAGGGCACAGATTGCCTCTTGAAAGCATGTTTATATATTATTTTTATTTTTTCTTTATTGATTTTAGAGAGAGAGGAAGGGAGAGAGGGATGGAAATGTTGATGAGAGAGAACATCGACTGGCCGCCTCCAGCATGCCCCCCACTGGGGATCCGGCCCACAACCTGGGCATGTGCCCTGACCGGGAATCGAACCAGCAACCTCTTGGTGCATGGGTCAATGCTCAACCCCTGAGCCACACTGGTCAGGTAAAGCAATATTGTGAGGCAATAACCTCAGAGAGAAAGAACTCAAGTCTCATTTTCCTCTTCTGTAAAATGAGGTGAATCCAAGCTTCTTTATTTTTTGATCGAGGGCACGGACACACTGCCTCCTGGCTACAGCCCCAGCTGCCTCACGCTATTGTTTCAAATGAACGACAGTGCTTAATAACCTTTAACTCGCATGGAAGGGAGCATGAATGACACTGAGGGGCTTTTGCCATTCAGTGCCACGCGGAATTCACTCAGAATCACCGCTGATCAGATCATGGATATAAGATATAAACTTACAATACTTAGCAATACATATATTCAGGGGACAACAGAAATGTACTCTCATCCCGAGTTTTGTTAGAAATAACAAAGAACATACATCCCAAAGAGCACGTGACTGAATCGGACCCCAGCAGCACTTCTCAGCTGCTGGGAAGAAGGCACTGTTCCTCCACGCTCTGTTCTAGAGCCAGCGACTGTCCCAGGGAAGGGAGACAACGCCCAGGGGCACCCACCAGTGACTCAGTGGGTCCCCCATGGCTGGACAGATCAGGACTAGCCCTGTGGAGAAGGATGCTGATTTTTGAACTTGAGAAAGAGACTCACATTTCATGTGCCTCAAACATCCCTAGCACCTCCCTGAACCTGGCCCCGGCGACCCACACTGCCCGAGTCACTGTGCT